TGCATTTATTATAAAGTTTTGGGCAAAGGAAGAATATGGATACAGGACTGAAATGGATCTGGTTCCCAGAGACTATAAAGTCATTAAAACTTTTTCTGGCATAAAGCACTCAGGCAGAATCATACTATGAATAGTCCAAGCGTATTAGAAATGGTTCTTCAGAGAAACATTCCTCCATGGCATCAGATATGTAAGGACAAGTTGGCTCACAAGATTATGGAGACTGATATGTTCCACCGTAAGGAGACCAGGGAAGTAGGTGATATAATTCCAATCTGAGTGTAACCAAGAAAATGGGATTCAGGCAACAAGTGGACACTGAACATAGAGAATCTGAAACAGTTTACTCATAAGACTTTGTTTCCCAGAGGATGTTTCAGGAAGACCTGGCTTGCAACATTGTACTAAGAGGGGACCAGTCCCCATGTCAACCAAAAAAGCTGCAAGAAAGTATTATGAGCCACTTTTGTCTTAAAATAGCTGTTGAAAATGCTAAGTGACAAAGATGAAAGACAGAGAAATCATCCATCCTCTGGTCACTCCCCAAATGGCTATAGAACTGTGGCTGGACCAGGACAACACCAGAACCAAGAATTCCACCCAGGTCTCCCATGCAGTTGGCAGGGGCCCAAGCATTTGAGCCATGATCTGCTGCTTCTTAGCACTGACTTCTCCTAAAGTGAGAAACTCAAAGACTGAAGTAGAAGATACAATGGTTTTTATGACTAGTCTTATCAGTCAGACTCCATTACTCCTATGGTAGTCTACGGGTCTCACCCAGGCCAACCTTGCTTCAGTGTTGGGGAAGTCTATCTAAACAGCATGAGTGGTGAGGTGGGGGTCACTGGGGTGGGGCTTCCACCATTCCTAAGTGACCTCCATGACTTTACATGCCACCTTTGCCTAGAACATTCTTCCACCTTTGCTTTGCTTACAGGGGCCAACCTGAAGTTCCTCTTCTCTGGAAAAAAAGTGTTACAAACACTTGAAGACAGCACCGCACAAGCTCTGCCTAGAGTTTATATGATGTATAACTTTCAGTCTGCTAATGGCGAGTCAAGAGCACCTCAATACTGGCACAGAGCTGGCCCTCAATCATGCTGGGTGAATAAACAAATGAATAAGGGAAGGACTGTCACTATATCAGTGGCAACAGCTGTCTCCTGAAACTTCAGGACAGCCTCAATAGTCCATGTAAAACTACGCTCTCTTGTATAAATAGTGGAGAGAGGTAGGAAGCAATAATATGAATAGGATTCATAAAAATTTTGTTGGAGATGACCTTCCTTACAAATATATTAAGTAAAAAACTCCAAAAGTGGAAAAAGATCATAAAATTCAAAAGTTAACTTTATGTTTATTTATTTGAGAGAGAGAGAGGAGAGAGAGAGAGAGAAGCACTCCAATCTGCTGGATCAATCCCAAAGTGCTATAGTGTGCCATAGTGGCTCTAGGCTGAGGGATAAATCCAGGAGCCAGAAACTTAATTTAGGTGTTACACATGAGCAGCATCACTTGAGATATCACCACCACCTCCCAGGGTTAGCACTAGCAGGTAGTTGAAGTCAGGAATGGAACCAAGTACAAAAACCAGGCATTCTGATAAGCAACATGGACATTTTAGCCAGTAGGCCAAATACCCACCTCCCATCTTAGAAAACTTTGCAAAATAGAACAAAAATGAAGAAAGAGAGGAGGGTAGGCAGTAGAGCTATATGATAAAAGTAATGAGGTTAAGTGTGTAGCTATTGGGTAGTACCGAATTTTAAACATAAATTATCTTTAAGTTGTCTCATTCTCCCAACTACATGCTTGCATGGATTTATGAAAGGACCATCATATATCTGCAACTTATTAAGGGCTAGTTTTTATTGGAATTTTTTTACTGAAAATATAAGAACATTTGGACAGAGGCTTCCCTTTTAACACTATCAGCAAAAAAGCTCTGCTCAGCAAGTAGAGGTGGTCAATGAAATTTCAAGGGAATGATTGATGCTTAGAGAATAGGAGATTTTTTTGAGGGGGAAGAAAATTGACTCTGATTGGGTTCAGGCACTCAGCACAGGAAAATATTCATGTTCTGGACAATTCCTCATAGGCACCATCTTGGTACTTCTATTGGTCCCATCTACTGAGGCCTGTTTCTGAATTCCTGCTATCCAGAGATTTTGGCTCTCCTGATGCAATACAGCCTGCAAAACCATGGTGTCACCTCCTTCAGGGGCAGCCACACTGGACTTCCTGTTCAAGATGTCTATCCACCCCATAGAGTACAGCATAGTAAGTGCTATAAGCTTATTATAATCCCTCCAATAGCCAATATCTTCCTTCTCACCACAGTTCTGCCACTCCTTCTCTCTTAACATTCCAATCTCCAACTCCTTACACTCAAGGACAATGTTTCTTTACTAAATATTTCCTCTAGGAAACCTTTGATGAATCCTACCTCCATAATCAGATTTGTTGTCTCTCTGTGAGATTCTTAGCACTGGATGCTTTATACAAACATTCATACTATAAGACTGCAATTGCCCATTACTTACTCTATTTCTTCATTCACATACAGACTCCAAATGTACACAGAATATGAATACCTCACTCACTGGACTTAGTACTGAGCACAGGACATGAGCTACTGTAAGCACTCAATGGATATGAAAGGGGTGATAGGAACAGCAAGAAGAAAGGGATACAAGAGGAATAAAAGGAAGAAATGAAGAAGGGAGGGTTGAAGAAAGGAGAGGACACGGCAGCAAATAGACAACTGGCTCACCAAACTGTGTCTTCAAGAGATCACAAATCCCAGGCACTGAGTCCTCCCACCAGACACCATTTCAAGGGGACCAACACTATTAAACCAAAGTGGACATCAACAGAAATTGGACAAGTTGATGCCGGTTGTGAATTTATGCCCTAAGAATATGCAGATCCATAGATGCAAGCACTGCACCAGAATGAAAAAAGTAGTGCATCACCCCCAGCCTGGAGCTCAAGGTCACAATTCAACCCTTGGAACTTCTGTGGGGGCTTTCTCTTCAGGTGTGAAGAGGCAGCCTCCGATTTTCCCAGAGCAAGCTCAAATCAGACAATAAAGGCCAACTGTAACTCTGGAAAAGTTAGTCATCTCTGTGTAGCAGGCATGAATGCCAGCTTACAACCTCATGTCTGAAAAAAAAATCACATCCCTATGTTATAGAAGGCAGCCCAGTGTTCATTCTAGCACTTTCTTCATACCAAGCATGTTGTAGAATTTGACCTTAGTTATCCTCAGGATTAAGGCATGGCTCCTGGAGACAGATCGGTGGAGTGGCAGGTTACCATCTGATGTTTGGCCCCGGGCTCACCTGCATTACACTGGGAATGTCTATTGTACCCATTTGTTTAGATCCTTGAGTAGCATTTCCTGTGTCCTACCTGCTGAGACGTGCCATATCACATTCCTTTCTGGGGTTCTTCATAGGATGTTCCTAGGGTGAGCTGATCACCACTGCCTCCAGTCACCTGTACTCCAACCTCTTTCCTCCCAGGTCTTTGTGGAGTGAGGGGGAGGATACAGGTGAACTGCACTCTCCCCTGTGCTACTCCAGGTCGCTCTGCCTCTGCACTCAATACCCTTCACTCCTTTACTTCTCACCCCAAACACTCAGGCTGTCCACAGAGACATGTGTGTGTACTTCAGCCAAGCAGAGTCCACAGGCTAGATTAACTCAGTGCCTCATCAGCCTTTCTCTGGCAGGTATCTGCCACTTAGGGGCTCCTTGCTGGGAAAATCTACCCTTTAGTCCCAGCTGCTTCCTTGTATTTATGAGTGAGCAAAGCTTTTACCAGTATCACTTGGACGATGCAAGCAGTGTTCCCAATTTTAGAAATATAGTTATTTGGCATCTATCTTCCATCAGCTACCCAGAGTTGACTGAAGGATGTGTTTTCTTTTTGCATCCAAGTGCTCCAGTGCTCTGGGTGTGAAACAATGACAGCTGCTGGTGCTATTGCTGTCTGAGTGTGTGAGCCTGGAAAGGTTTGCTCTGAGGGGACCAGTGTGAGTGCGTGCATGCACCCTCACGCACACTAAGGCATGCAGCCTTGCTTAGGGTGCAGGATTAGGCCAGAGAAGACCTATATTAAACCAGTCCCAGAAAGACAAATATCATGTGTTCTCCCTGATTTATGGTAGCTAATATACAGAGTATAAAAATATAATGATATGAGCACAATGGACATTTTGAGATGTGATTTTTTTTATTTTTTAATTTGACAGATAGAGTTAGACAGTGAGAGAGAGAGAGAGAGAGAGAGAGAGAGAGAGAGAAAGGTCTTCCTTCCATTGGTTCACCCCCCAAATGGCCGCTACGGCCAGAGGTACACTGATCTGAAGCCATGAAACAGTTGCTTCCTCCTGGTCTCCTATGAAGGTGTAGTAGCCCAAGTACTTGGGCCATCCTCCACTGCCCTCCTGGGCCACAGCAGAGAGCTGGACTGGAAGAGGGGCAACCGGGACTAGAACCCGGCGCCCATATGGGATGCTGGCGCCACAGGCAGAGAATTAACCAAGTGAGCCATGGCGCTGGCCTGGAGATGTGATTATTGTTTATAGCCCTTGTCTATACTTTTGAAGGACAATGGTCTTTCTATTTACCATTTGTTGAATTCTTCACTTAGTAGAGAGTTAAGTTTGTGATTATGAGGAAAACTGAAAGTATGTCACTGTAAAAATTAAAAGAAAAATAAGTGAAGAAAGGGGAGAGAATGGGAACGAGTGAGGGAGTATCATTATGCTCTTAAAATTGTATATTTGAAACTTGTTCACTTTATATAAATAAAAAATTTTCAAAATCTGAAAGTACTCTTTTTTTGGATTTCCTATCAATAAAGCAGTTCCTGCTTTTCTGAGCTGTCTTCTCTTTTGCCTTAGATGATTTCCTTTAGTAAGAAAGCAGCCTACAACAGCAGTGATGCAGGAGCGAGCATGTGGTGTAGAGTGAAGAAGTTGCATAGCATACCTGCATCTCACTTCAGGGTGCCTGGGTGCAACTCGCAGCTCTGCTCCTGATTACAGCTTCCTGCTGCTGTCCACCAGGGGAGGCACCAGGTGATGGTTCATGTGCTCGGGGCATAGTCACCTATGTGGCAGACACACACTGAGCTCCTGAATCCTGGCTGTTGTGGGCACAAGGAAAGAGAACCATCAGATGGGATTCTCTCTCTCTTCTTTTCAAGTACATTAAAAATTTGAAGTGATCTGCTGCATTCTCATCATCATTGATGATGGTAATCTATTAATTTACCTGCTTTCTCAAAAACTTGTGTATCCTTTAACTCCAACATCAGTCCCAGAGTATAGCCCTACTTACTTACTGGAAACAACCAATATCACTTTTTTGCATGAGAACTTACAGTCCGGTGGATGTGTGGTATTATCCTTGCATGACTTCTAGTATTCTGTCTTAAACCTGTGCTTGTTGCACCCCTGCCAAGTGCAGGAATCGTGACCTCTGTTTCACATTCCTCAACACAAAATTACAAGACTGCACCTGTCTCTCCCCCAGGAAGATGAAGTGACCCTCCAGCTCACGGCCCTGTGAGTGGTAGAGGTGGGATCCATCAAATGCAGATGCTTTGGCTCCAGAGGAAGCAGTGCACCACCGCTCCCTAAAAACCAGAACTGGAATCATGAGCTTGAGGCTGAAAGGGGCCGGGGGAGCATCCAGTCTCTTCAGGGCTTAGGTAAGGAGGCTGAGGGCCAAAAATGCCAAGGGATTTACTCAATAGTGTTCCACGGAGAGGTCCTGAGCAAGCTTGGGTCTCACTGTCGTACCTTTAACAAACAGTTCTTGATCCTCTACGGAAGGCAAAGACTTCTGCGAGTGCCGGTGAAGAAAGTGGAAAACCTGCTTGTGGGCACTCATTACCTAAAGAAAAGCCAGGAACTGACAACAATGAAGTGCTCTTCCCAGAGGCCTCCCAGAGTGGCCGAGAGGAGGGAGGTGGAAGGAAGATTCCTGCAGAAGGAGGCAGATCTCCCAGGAATTCACGTGAGCCGTGACGCGCGAGGCACTGCAGTGTCTTGCCTGGGCTCAGGCTCTTCTGGCCTCTCCTCTTCAGTGAAGTGGCTATCGCTCTGTAGTTCTCCTCTCACTAAGACGAGAGACTCCTCAAGGCTGTGCTGAGAGTGGGCTGAGCGCCCAGCTGGATGCGCTGAAGCAGAGAAGGGCGCTGGGAGGACTGCATGCTGGGCAGACACGTTGGGAGTTCTCGCCAGCAGGAAGTGGCTTCCTTTGGTTAAATCTAACTCTGGAAGTAGCTCAAGTAAGAGCATTATGCACAAGGAATTTTCCTTTGGATTAGATTAAATTGTGATTAACAACAGCACTGGTCTCTTGACTTAAGCTATAAATAAATTTCCGGTCCACATGATGATTGCACGATTGTGCAGCAGTGACCCAGTGATGCCTCCTCGTACAGGTGATCAATCGTATTCCACACAGGCGTCAGGTCTCCATCCTCCATAAGCCTTCACTGACTTCTCACCACCCTCAGAATAAGGCCCAAAAGCCTTGGAAAGACACAGGAATCTGTGGATAAATTCTTCTCTTCCCAGGCCTCTTTCCAGAACCTCTACTTGGTTTGACAGATATTTTGCCCAAAATTACCAAATTACCAGTCAGGAAGGGGACACTGATGGTAGCTTAAAAATATGACTTGTCTATCATTTCAATAAAGCAATTGCACCATATGCTTGGTGAGTTTTTCGTTTTTAAGAAAAACACATTTAACATTAGAGTAACTCAGTGTTGCTGGGGAAAACACAGATCTGAAATGGTTCTAAATAATAATTTTAAGAACAAATGTTCTGTTCAATACTGGATGCTATCAAGTGTGCTACCCAACAGCTCTTCTCTCCACTGGACACCAAGAAAGCATCCATGAGTCAGAGGTTGCTGGATACCCGCCAACCCCACTTCCTCTCTCTGGGCGTGTGGAAGACCACACACATCCCCCAGTCCTGCTCTCCATCAGCCGCGTCTGCGTGACTGTCTCAGCATTGGGGAGTGGAGGAAATGAGGCACACAGCGGGCAGGGTAGCCTGGAAAGGCCTGACTGGGGAGCTCCCTTCTCCCTCTTGGCTTTTTACTGCAACTCGGAGAGACTGAAGGGGCCTGAACACCTGTGCTATTGCAGGTAACTCTGCCCACCCCTCAGAGGAAAGTGCAAGCACAAGAAGAGGAAACCTCCGACTATTCTAAGACCTGCAGGTGCTGTCACCGCAGCATAGCCTAGCATCCTCTGCTGGACACATCGTTCTCTCTTCCCCAGCAGACCTGACACTGCAGTGCTGGAAGACGCCAGCTGCCACGCATGCAACATTGCTCCGCCCATTCCCACTTCTTCAGGATTGGGGCACTCATTCCCCAGCTTCCGGGAGCTTTGCCTGCCAAGTGTTCATGCCTGAGCCTTTCCCCAGGAATTGCCTTCCATCAAAGAGAATTTCCTCTTCCAAAGGTCGTCTCCTGCCCAAGGACAGCCTCATGCTGTGACTGACGTCTGGGCCCACAGAGGCCTGGCTCCCCTGTGTCCGTCAGAGGCTACTCTGCAAGGTCTTCCCAGCTCTTTAGCTCCCCGTGGCTTCTGCTGAGGCCTCTGCTGCAACAGTCCTTCTTTCTTTCATTCATTCATTTTTCAATGACTTGTGCATTTGAAAGGCAGAGCAATGGGAGTAGGAGGGAGATTGGAGAGACGCGGTACTGTGGTGCTGCAATATGGCAGCTGCCGTGGATGCGATGTTGGAAGTGGAAGGCAGTGGGCAAGTGTTGGCTTCCCAGGTGGCTCTGTGGGGAGGGCCCTGGTTGTGAGGCTCAAGCAGGATCAAAGCCCACAACGTGGACTCCTGGGAGTGGGGAGAATGCACAGCAATAATGGCTGAGACTGTATGTCCTGTTCACCCAGCAGCTTAGAAGTTCAAAGTCAGATTTTATTTACTTTGAAGGCATTTCTTGTACAAGAAAATTGGTGGTTGAGAATTCACCTTTCACACACTGATATTCAGTCTGAACCAGGATGAATTTCTCTGAGGGTGAGAATTATTTTTAACTTTCTCTCTCTCTCTCTCTCTCTCTCTCTCTCTCTCTCCTTGCTGGAGGCCTTGGGGATGAGGAACACCTTCACAAGGACTTAGCAACTCTCCCCCACTGCTTTTGTTCTTCCAGCAAAACATTTTTGCAATATTAAATACCCTTGCCCCAATCCAGAGCATCATACGGACCTCACAAGCATGTGTCTGTATGGATTTCTCTCAGAACTGGTTTATTTGCAGCCTGCCTTGTAATTAAAAAGAAGTGACTCTTTACCCACTAGCAGTTTGATGCAATTTGATGTATGGCATTTAAAAGTTTTGATGTGAAAATACTGTTTTGGAATGAAGCAGAGAAATAGATTTGCAATACCTTAGCAAGAGTCATGTGCATTGGGAAACATCTGTGGTATCAGATACTTTTTCCACTGAATCAGTAGTGTCATACACACATATGTCACCAATACTGGAGACTTTATGGGCTATGAGCTGTCGCTCCCCCTCTTCGTGGAGGAACAACACAGGACCCTGCGCTGTTCTTTTCGTCTGCTCGGCCCTCCCCGGGTTTGCTGCTGGTTCTTCCCGGGTTGGCTACTATCCCTTCCACCTCCGTGGAAGGGCAGTTCCCCCTGGCCACATTCCCCACTTCCGCAGGGGAGCGGCACACCGCCGGCCGGCTCTCTGGGGGCTGCACAGGTGTTCCTTCAGCTAGATGTTCCCCATAGATGTTCCCGGTGCATGCCGTTTCTCTCCTCCTTTATAGTCCTCCTCCGCCAATCCCAACTCGGCTGCCCACACGCCGAGTACGCTGCTCTCCAATCAGGAGCAAGTCCTACAGTTTATTAGTTGAACTGGAGGCAGCTGTGCGGAAGCTGTTTACTTCTCTCCCAGCGCCATATTGTGGGAGAGCAGATGCATAGAATAAGTCTTAATTCGAGTAACTTAGTCTAGTCCGGATTGCTCCCCACATGAGCATTTCAGATTAAGGAGTTAGGAGACTGCAGACAATTCGGTTTTGAAGAAAGCTGAATCTGTATAATCGTGCAGAAATGCACCCCCTTTAACTCTAGTGAGGTACCTGTAACTTACCTTCTCAATGCCAGGATAGTCCACAGAGCTATGCCAGGATAGGTACCACAAAGGGAATACATGAGACGCCCCAAGTTTCCATGAGCTCTGACTTTCTCGGTTTCCCCGTGTGGGCTGGATTTGCTCAGCTCTCCCTCCAGGGGCATCTTCCTTCTTCCTCTGTCTCACTGTGTTCCAAGAGGCTGAGCTGTGAGGATGCCATTGAGGCGTCCTTGCCCAGGAGGAGACATGTGCCAGGCAGGAGACTCCAGCAGGAAACTGGGGAGAGAGGGTTTGGAAGATTCATTTCCTTGGCTCCCTTTTGGGTCACAGGTTGGCAGTGGGTCTGGTCCTCTACAGAAGGTCACAGCTCCTATCTGGAAGCTTCTCTTTCTTCCATCTATAGCCAAAGCTATTTTTGATCACCCCATCCCTGCCTGGGCAGGTGTAAGGGGAGGCATGAGTCCCACGTGCTTACAGCTCCAGGGACCTCATCATCCCTTGTTGATTTTTCAAAACCCTACCTACATTTCCAAAGCGATTTCTTCATTAAACCCTCTTCAACTCCCTGTGATTTAGAATGACAGTATTCTGATGTGTACCACATTATCCTCAGATCTCCATGGGTCTGTGGCACGAAAAGGTTAGCACAGTAATCTTCCTTACAAAATCCTGGTTTTATATCCTTTCATATATCACGTTATAGTATCATCTTTATATTACTCACATTAACCAACCACAATCTTATAATAGTATTTGTCTGCCTTTGTTTCCAAGAGCTTTTATAGTTCAAAACTCATTTTTAGACAATTAACTCATAGGTGTGACTTTGAAAATTACCAGGTTCCTCTGGGTTTTGACAGTGCTCTAGGCCTCATTCTTTACTCAAATTTAGCCACCTCTGTTATTCACCCTGCTTTCTTGCCTCTGTGCGATTCTCTCAGCTTAAGTGTCTTTTCTAACCATCTCCATATCTTCACATCCTCTTTACGTGTTCAGTTGACACCTCTTCATTCATCCGTCTAGTAAGTTTTGTGTCTGCTAAATGCTCTCCCCCTCAATAGAAGAGACTTACAGGAGTCTTCCCTAAAAATCCCCTCTTACCTTCTGGGCCCCTGCGTGCCTGTGCCTCTCCTGCAATCATCCCACTCCACTCTGCAGGTGAGGGTTCTGTCCACAACTAACTTGGCCACCGGATGATGAGTTTCCTATGCAGGAACTCTGAGGGCACCTTGATCTTTGCCCCCTCTTCCTGAGAATCACATGTTAACCAGTGATATAACGCACTTAATTAATGTCCAAGGAATCAAAACAAATCAACAGGATAGCTTCCTCCCTGCCAGCAAATGCACTGAACGCCTGATCTGACACAGAGAAAGCTTTTTACAGGCTGAGACCTCTGTCAGATATTTCAGAGTTCTGGCCAACTTGAGCAACTTAAGCTTAAGACAATGATATTGCAAACCCCAAAAAAGCCATTTCAAGGGAGCTAGAGCAGAGAAGTTGTCCAATCTGAGCTGTCCCAGTTGTAAAATAAGTTCAATTTCCCTACCACCTAAACTCTGCTCCTACCCAAAGCCTTAAATAACGAGGCAGGACAGCTTTAGGCACTTTACATAACTTCTGATAAAGCCTAGCCCGAACACCCTGCTCACACTGCTGACTCATACGCCCAAAATATGTGTGACCAGTGAGGCAGAAATAAGTGATTCTTGCCGGCTTTTAACTATCAGTCTTCCCAGCTCTGCTTCCCTCAGTCCTAAAGGGTGATTCTAATTTGGTTCAAGAAGAAGAAAAAAAATAAAGAATGCCTGACGATTACCACCCCGGAGTGACTGAAAGAAGGGAGCGTATGTGATTATTTTAAAAGTCCATGTACAAGAGTACTTTGAAAACTTTGTGGAAAGTGGAATTAAAAGCTAAGTTTATTTTGGTGCAGAAGGCTTTGAAATGCATGCACATTTTTCCTAACATGCGTTTTTCAGTGTACTTTTAGAAGACCCTCCTGTTTGTTGTAAAAGTGTCACTCACAACCTCTGATCCCCTTCACACTCATCATTGCCCCTGTCTAATTGCACGTGGAGTTGTGCCATCATCTACATGAAAACAACTGAGCTAAAATGTCACTGCAAGAAGATTAAGAATAACATCCTCTTTAGAGAGACTTCAGGAAAAATGTCCTTTTGCCTTTCTATAGGAAATAGGTGTGAACTAACAAGGAACTGATTTTACTTATTTTAGAAGTACTGCAAAAGGAAGCCAGTGCTGCGGGTCCATAGGCTAATCCTCCGTCTGCGGCGCCGGCACACCGGGTTCTAGTTCCAGTCGGGGCGCCGGATTCTGTCCCGGTTGCCCCTCTTCCAGGCCAGCTCTCTGCTGTGGCCAGGGAGTGCAGTGGAGGATGGCCCAAGTGCTTGGGCCCTGCACCCGCATGAGAGACCAGGAGAAGCACCTGGCTCCTGGCTTTGGATCAGCGTGATGCGCCAGCTGCAGCAGCCATTGGAGGTGAACCAACGGAAAAGGAAGACCTTTCTCCTTGTCTCTATCTCTCACTGTCCACTCTTCCTGTAAAAAAAATTTAAAAAGTACTGCAGAAGGTGTAATCCGTCCACTTTCCCTTCTTGTGCTGGATTTGGGAATGGTTACAGCCAAGGCTTGTATCTCATTTGCAAGCAGGCTAGTCTCTGAGAGATCTGGTTTTGTTTAACACTCGCTTCTGGTTCCATTTCATATTTGTGCCTTTCTGGTCCTTACTTTGTCTTCTGCTTTTATCTTTTCTTGGTTTATTTTCTATTTCTTTGAAGACTGCCTTGGTAATTTATAGAAAATGCTTGGGCATACCAAAAATGTAGTAAGTACTCTGAACTGTTATCTGCCTACCTCCCGGCAGATAAGTAAGTTGTTCAAAGTTAGCAATAATTACCCTCAAGGTGAGAGCCAAGATACAGGAGCACATAGTTTGCATCCTTGTATGCAGAGACCAGATAGAGAAAGGGAGAATCCACCAACAGTTCACACTGCCTCAACACCCATTTTCACTCTCCACAGTGAGAGTGCTCCTTTCTCCCACAGTGATGAGTGGCCAGAAAGAACTGCTGTCTTTGACCTAATCTTTGTGAGAATCAAGGGAAAGAGCACAGATGGACACATTGATCTGCATGCTAAGGAACGCCTGGACAGACTCACAGCCTGATTCATTCTTTGACCTTTTGATAATTGAGAAGTAGAATCCATTTATTCAATCTTAATACATTACCATTTCCAACTACACTGTGCTGAGCTCTCTTCCTTGTATGTTAAAGAGAATCAATTGGGAAACCTAGGATATAGAATGCTGGAGATGGGAGCTACCTTTGCAGTCATCTGTTCAAATGATCAGCATGCCTACGTGCCTGTGTGTTGTTTTAAATTTGTTCACAAAAAGTAGATACTGTGGCTCAGGCAATCAAGCTGCTGCTTGGGTCACACACACCCCATATTGGAATGCTGTTTTGAGTACCTGCTATTCAATTTCCCACTCAACTTCTTGTTAAAGATGACCCACGGACCTGGATTTCTGCTATCCATATGGAGAGACTACAGATGGAGTCCCTGGATCCTGGCTTTTTCCTGGTCCAGCCCCAGTTGTTGTACGTATTTGGGGAGTGAACCAGCAGATGAGATTCTCTCTCGCTCGCTTGCTCTCTTTCTCTCTCCTCTCTGTGTCACTCTGCCTTTAAAATAAATAATAAATTAAATCTTTTTTAAAAAACTTGGCTGTACAATTAGCTTATACTTACTCTAATATCAAATTTCCCTATACACAGGAACTAGAATGTAAGTCATCTGTCACTCAGGCTTCCCAGAATAAACACCACTCATAGGAACATTCATTCATTCATTTATCTGTTTATTCAAGAAATATTTATTGAATGTCAAATATGCGATAGACTCTGTAGATTAATACTGGAAAACAAGAACATGATTAAGTAGGTTACAGAAAGCAGTAGCAGTTGAGAGCAAGAGTGAAAAGTGAGGCCACTTTAGATTGTGTGTGACTGCGTGGCAGAGGCTTGGCAAATGCAAAGTGCTTCAGGCAGGGCTGTGCTGGGTGTGCTCTAGGAACAGTGAAGGGGAGGCAGAGCTAAGGTGCTGAGGGATGGTGTAAAGATGAGACTAGAGGCGTCCACAGTAGGCACGTTCTGTAGGTCTTTGAGACATCACTAAAACACCTGTTTCTTTTCCAAGTGCATGGAGAAGCAATTGAGAGGATGCAAATGGTTTCAGATGTGGCACCTTTAATAGTCAAAAGGCTTCTGAGCAGGGAGACCTGATCTAGGAGGATGACTAAAGGTTAACTTCAAAGCAGCCACGAGTCTAATGGCAGAATGACTGTGTGTACACAGGTAAGGCTGTTCTTGCAGAGTTTATGCTCACCACTGTTTCTTGTTCCATCAAGTCCTGCAAGCACACTACTAGCAATAATAAAAAAGCGGGATTAGCAGACACACTCAGGCTAATATCTGAGTTCATAGGCAGAACATGCAAATGAGGCAAACAGATAATGGGAAGGCTCACCTGGCTGTAGCACTAGAATAGCCTGTCTGTTTCTCATGCAACTACAAATCTCTACATAGGTTTTATAACATCTTTATTTTGAATTAGTTTGAATCACAAGAAGTTTCAAAAATAGCACAGAGTGTACCTATGTAATCTTCACTTAGCTTCTCCCAGTCATAATATCTTACATACATCTAATACATGTAAAAAAAAAAAAACCAGAAAATTAGCATTAGTACATTGTTATTAACTTAACTATCTGGATCTCCCCAATTTTTCCAGGCCCTATTTTTAAAATATTCATTTGTTTGTTTTTGAGGAGTGTACAGCACTATGCAATTAGTAGAGCCAACCAGTACTAGAATCAGGATGCAGACTTTTCTGATCTTTATAAGTCAACTCCCTTGGTATATTCCTGAGCTGCACAAAGAAATCTACTAGGGGGTTTTCAAAATGTTCAAAGAACATATGAAAAAAAACTATGCATAGATTTCAAAAGAAATTTTGCATCAAAATAAACATGTGCTAACCCGTCTGAACAGGATCTAGTCAGAGGCACTACCAAGGATAAAACATAAGTTTACTTACAGCAACACAAATTCTGCTAAAACTCCTAAATACTCTGGAATTTTCTCGCTACTTAATAATTCCCTCAATCCTTCCTATTCTTAAGAAAACTACTTTTTTCCCCTATAAATGTTTTGTTTGATCACAGTTTCCTAAATCTACTTGTTTCTGCATGCAAAAATAAAAAAAAATCAATATATACTTCATAGAAACAATATTCACTCATTTATATCAACATCTTATCATTCATAATTAACAAAATGAGAATTTTTATAGTTCATGAACTATACCTATTACAAAAAAACCTATGCATGAATTTAAAAATTTTTGTACCAAAATAAACTCATCTTTTAATTATATTTCTCCACATACATTCTGAAGCCCCTTGTATTACTATAGTCATCACTTTCATTTTACACCAGCCTTTTTTAATTTTGATTTTTCATTGACAGAGTTTCACAGACCCTCACTGATTCCATTATGAATGACACCTTTGGACCTGGACAGTATACACCAGAGTAACTGTGTACAACAGTCCTGCAAACTGATGTTCCTAATTAAAATCTGAAATTGACTACTAGGAGTATAGGATGTTCTAGTACTTTTCTTGCTCAGATCATTGATACAATTTTATTGTAGCCACTGTTGAAATAGTTGTCTAGAGGACTGTTTTTATTTATTTATTCATTCACTCATTCATTTATTTGAGAAACTAGGGGTGGAGCGAGACTGGGGTGTGTGGGGGTGGGAGAGAGAGAGAGAGAGAGAGAGATTTCCCACAGAGTAATTCATATCCCCAAATGCCCACAACAGCCAAGGCTGGACCACACTCAAGCTAGAAGCTGGAAATTCAGTGCAGATCTCCCATGCGGGTGGCAAGGACACAAGTATTTGAGCCATTACTACTGCCTCCCAGTGTGCATTAGCAGGAAGCTAGATCAGAAGTGGAATAGCAGCCAGGCTCACACCAGGCACTCCGAAATGGGATGCAGTGTCCCAATTGGCAGCTAAACCAATGTGCTCCTTAAAAGGTGGCTTTGCAAGAATTGTGATTTGTCCAGGATTAGGAAAGGGAAAGAAAATAGGAGAAATGGCAGAGAGGACAAAAAAAGTAAACGCAAGGAAAACAGGTGTCTGTTGTGATCCGTTTTTCAAGAATCATCTTGTGGTTACTCAGTTATTAAATTTCATTTTACCTAAATTTAATAGAAGAAACTAGAATAAATAAAATTGAAGCTGATGAACTTCATATTAATGTTTCTTCACAACAGAGATATAGCCTGAAAGATTCTCCCTTTAGCTAAGAGAATTCATAACAAAAATGGTAAGAGGTTATAAAATCAAATTTTTCTACTTGTATTTATTTTAGGGAACATTAATTGTATTCTTGCTAAAGACAAAAAAATTAACATGCTCATATTTCTTCCCACAATCTTCCCACTCTCTTATTGCTGTTAGTTACAGCATTAATTCTCAACTTAGACCAGATCTATAAGCAATGGTTTTAATTCCCATGGTCACTGCTTTTTGCCATGAATTCTCCATCTTTGAATTATTTTTATTAATGTAGTAATAAAATTTGATTTATTTTTAAATTCAGTCTTATTAGTTTGTTTTTTTATATTGCTTTTGTTTTTGTCTAAAATGCTATAGTTAATCATTATCTTTTCTGGGCATAATATTGTAGGGCCACAAAAGGCAAACCAAAATTACCTTCTAGAATCTATCTGACAAATAGCAATTTCTTGAGCTCTTAAATGCATGACTACTGTCAAGGTGGGCATAGCAATTAAGATCCTGCTTGAGACAGTCACATCCCAGAATACAGTGTCTAGGTTTGAGTCTCAGCTCTGCTCTGGGTACAAGCTGACTCCTAACACGCACCATGGGAGGCAGCAGCTGATGGCTAAAGTAGTTGGGTCCCTGCCACTCATGTGGGAAACTCAGATTCAGTTTCCAGTTTCAAGTTTTCTTTCTCCTGGCCCAGTCCCAGCTGTTGTGAACATTTGGGGATTGAACAAGTCAGTGGGAAATCTGTATCTCTTTCAAACAAATAAAAATAATTTTTAAAAGACATTCTATAAAAATCATGACTACTATGAACCAGGGACTTAACTTTTCATGTTATCTCAATTTAACCTCAAGTAGTAAGCTAAAGTTACCTGTGGTTAGCTGCTACTTTATCAGATATCTTAGGTCTAAAATATATAGTAAAAGACTGTCCTCATGATCTAGGACAGGAAAATATTTCTTAAATAGAATACAAAACGCACTGAGCACGAAACAATATATTGGTAATTTTATTATGTGAAAATTTAAATTTTTGTGTAAAGATAGCATTAAGTGAATAAAAAATAAATCATAGAGTGGGAAAACACATTTGCAACACCTTTAAGACAAAGATCTCATACACAGAAAATTTTTAAAACACCTTATAATCCAATTAGAAAAACATAGATAATCTAAAGTGTTTAATATATTCAAACATGCACTTGCATCTCAAGATTATTCAACTGGTTAATAAACATATGAAAAGGCATTTTATTCTGTTACTCATGGAAAAAATAAAAAAGCTGTACACAGAGCTAAATCTTTAGCCACCAGAATGGCTGAAGTTTAAAAACTGATATTATCAAGTGTTGGCAGTATTGGAACAACTTGAACCCATATATATTACTGATAAAAATGTGAATTTTTATAATTACTTTAGAAAAGAGTCTGACATGTATTAAACTTGGGCATGGACATTCCCTATTTGTAGGCATTTCCAGTTCCAGGTATAAATGGACAGACATTGTGATTTAGACACAGAAACATATAGAATTCCACAGTATTACTATATATAATGACCAAGACCTAGAATTGCCTCAAATGTCAAAACTAGAGTGG